TGTTTGTTTTTCAATTTGCCGTTCAATGACTTGAAATTTTATATGTCGTGCACAAAGTTTACGGATGGCACAGATATCTATAATGAAAATTTTTGTTTTATCATCTTTGATAACGAATAAAAAAATCTGCGTCACGTTGTTTATCAGTTAAAAAATAATCGTTTGTAAACAAAAATACACTTATCTTGAGACAGCAAAATTAGATGCTTTAACAAAACGCAAAGCTGTTGCTTTAACTTTTTTCTTGAATTATTTTGTAATAATAAGAATAAATAAGTTTTGAATGATACGGTGTGTATATAATTTAAACCTTAAGAAATAAATAGTTTTACAACATTAAATTTTTGCTTTTCAATGAATAAAAACTATTTAATATCGTTTTATATAATGTTTATAATTGCCATATACATTCATTTATATGCTATTTATGCATATATGTAATTCTAATTATTGGATCGTTGAATATTGTATTATTCGAGTCTTGTTTTCAATAATTTAGTAGAATATATTAGTATATGCAATAATATATGTATACAGAATGTAACTCATTGAAAAATTAAGTAATTCGAATATTAAGGGTGTATGATAGATTTTTTTATTTTCATTAATAGTATAATAATTTTGGTATAATAGTTTCTGCTAATGCTTATCAATAATTTTAATTAAAATAATTAATGTTTGACTGCATTCATTTTAACAGCTTTTAATAGTGTAAGATTATGATTTAAACTTTCCATCAAAGAACAAAAAAATACATAAAAATTATAAGTATTCTAAACGCGTTAATCGCCCCGATAATATCAGTAAGTAATTTTCATTTGCGCTATGGTAACTTTACTAGATAATTTAACTAAAAATGTATCTTAACTAAGGAAACTTAATATATAAAAAAAATTGACAAAATTTCTGGAAAAACACTAGTTTTGTACAACTTCTTAGGGGGGTTCTTTATACACGTAATCGATTTTTTAAGGATTTTTGGACCCCCCTCCTCCTTTGTGATACGTAGTGATATTCAAAATTTTCCCCAGCAAACATCACGTGTATTTCTGATCACAAAACAAATGATAAAATTTTGATTTTTTTTGAAAATATTTTGATTTTTTTTAAATCTATGTATAGAATAAATACACGTGATATCTTACTACACCCCTCCCTCCCACACGTGATATTTCGTGATTTTTTTTGTCAAGTAAGCAATTTTTGCTAAAATTTCGTGTCTTTTATATTAAATCTCATTATGAATGTATAATAATTGTTTTGTAGCCCTGGGTACACTTTACGAACATTTGCAGTTCAAATTCGATTAAATGACATTCAACACTTATACAACAAGTATGCGAGTGAAATTTGACTTTTTAACATTCTGGTTAAAACTGGTTTTATTTTTACCAAGTGAGATTACAATATATAAATAACAAAAAAACAACATACATATACACGTTCGGGGATCGCAAATTTCTAGAGAATTTTTTGAGATTGGCGTTATACAAATATACAATTATAAAATTAATGTATAAAATGTACAATTAATTGTGGTTATTTCGATCAATATTTCAGCTTAGATTATTTGTGGAATTTGTAGTTAATGCATATTGAAGATATAATATTTGCAAAAATAAATTTATATTTATTTATCGGTTATTGATATTTTATTATCTATTTTAATGTCTGTCCATAGTATTTCATAATATAGAAATTGTTTGACTTCGTTTTAATGTTGAGATATTCTATTATATAAAAATAAGTCGGGTTTTCCTTCCTGGCGATATAACTCCAGACGCACGAACCGATTTTGACGATTTTGCATTCGTTGGAAAGGTCTCGGACTCCGTGAGGTTTATAGCAAAGAAAATTGAAGAAAGATTTCAACAGAAAAGTGGAAAACACTTTTTCTTTTCTCACATACAGCGTTATCTCTGATACTTAGCATGTACTACAAACTAATATTTTTTGTTTTACTGCCACTCATTTGTTTGACAGCTACTCATTGTTCTCTGCTCAGTTAATTTCATGAGGCAAATCGGCATTGTGTTCACTGTGAAATTGTGCAAAAAAGTAAAAAAAAAGTTATTCGTTTTCTAACACTTCAATTCGAAACCATCAAATCAATCACATGTATTGTGCAAATTTTCATTCAATTTCAACAGCAGGCAATTTTCTTCTTGATCTTTTAATCACCAAACGAAATGTTACATAAAATGAAACCATCTGGTGGTGAAACGGAGTTCGCCCGGTTTGCTAGTTATGTATAATTTTGTCTGATGGAGATGTTTTTGTCTAACAAAGTATTTAATCTCAAGTGATTTTTTTAAGTTATATGCCCATATGCACTCATTTTTTGCCTTCTTGTTTATGTCAACTTATATTTTCAAAATTGTTTTGGAATGTTTAACAATACTAATTTATGTAGCAGAAACGTAGGCATACATTTACATGAAGTATAAGAACTTCATATTATCATAAATTATACGTTCTTTTTCACATAATTATATCAGTTACGAGCATGATAAGGAAATTTTTACAAATTTGTATTTATTTGTCGTAAGCAAATACTGTCATTAAGCAACCTTGGGTATAAATATGATGTTACTTATAAAATCAGATTTTATTCCTAATTGTTTATTAGTAATGATAATAAAAAAAATCAAGTTATAGTAAAATATTTGATATTTAAAAGCAATCACATAAAATTAGAATCCATGGCAGATAAATACGTAGAATTAGCACTTAATAAAATTAATTAATTTTGATGAAAATCCAACCCATAAAAATACATGCTTTTGTAGTTAATTATTTTAGAAACGCAAGCGTATGTTTTGTTGTTAATCAATATTTCTCTTACAAATCAATATTATTTTATAATATGAAATAAATAGGGCAATACTAACAGGTTGAATATCGGGAAGGATAAAAATGTACTGATTTTAATTATTTAATACTAAAAATACTTCTATTCGCGTATTATAAATATCGATAGGATAACCTCATTAAATGCAAAATATTTTTCTATCATGATTACGTCAACATTAAATCTCAGATTTGATTGTATTTGTGATGTTTTTGTTGTGATCCAAAGTCTGAAAAGTGTTCTTGAAAACATGTTATTTTAAATTATCATTATGTAACTTCATCACGCTCTATAATAAATATTCTCTATTACACACGATTTGAATTGTATACCAGAATTATAGTATGTAATACGAATATATTATAGAGTTTGTGAACTGAACTTTAACAATATAAAGCAGATTATTTATATTGTGATGTAATTGATGATTATTGAACCTAAACAGTACATATTTGAATTACTTGATACAATATTCATTTTATAAAAGAAGTAGATGACATTGTAATATGCTAATTAAACACCAATTAAGTTTTTCTAAAATTTATGAGCACTATAAAATTCGCGTGTCATTTTCTCGAATTATTCAAGAATCTTTTTGTTTTGTGTTTTTATTTACTAAAATCTAAAAATGCATTTTTTTCTTCTTTTTCTTTCTTACATTTTTGGTACTTCATTATGGTAAAAATGGCACCACTGCACATAGTTCATTAATTTTGTCATGTAGATCAAGCAAATGCACAAATAATACCTTTTACTTACCTGTATGCAAACAATAAAGAACTAAAATAATAAAAATTCTTCCCAAGATTTTTAATTAAACATTTTCTGAAATACACAAATCACTAAAATACAGCTGATAATAATAAAAAGATTCTACCGCATAAAAATAGTAACGAAACTAGTAGTGTATGGCATAGTGTCTTAAGACAAATTGCTGGAACTTCCCGTACCGTAATGAAATGATCGAGGAATATTGAATGATTTTAAATAGATTATTAAAAATACTGTAACATTTTCTAATATTTATAAGAATTATATAAACTGAATTACAAGGTTAAAATTATTTGTTTGAAGTATATAAGTAAGTTCTAAAACTTAGCTAGAATTAAAATTGAATTCTGAATTATTTTCGATATACACAAAAAAATAGGAATCGATTGCTTTTCGATTTTCAGTCCATTACTATAACTTACGCTACGGGAAGTTAAAGATCTGAATATATGTTGCTTAGATTGTATGTTAATTTGCGAATTACAATTCAACTGTGAAGTTTTCGATAATTGGAATATTTCTGAAATTTATGTAAAATAATTATGTAAAAGGTTCATATTTTTTTTTATTTTTCTCTACATTTGCTTTACGACTATAAGTGCCTTAATTAATAATTGATGTTTTGATAGTATGGAACTGTAAATCATCTACGTAATTGACTTTTTTTTATAATTAAATGATTGCTCTAGACTTTGATCTCGTTGTGAATCGAGAACATCCTTCGGCGTGCAAATGTAGTTACACTATTTCTACATTTCATGATAATAATGTAAACAGTTTAGATAAACATGCAAATATCTGTTTATTTTTATGTCTGTGGAACAGGAAAAAATACTCAATTCGCGTTATCAATTTTCTGAATATCGACACAGGGTCAAATAATCCAGATTTAGGCGGTGTATTGACACCACGTGATTTACTGATATGTTTTTGAACTTACTTATATTTTAATGTAATATATCAAATTTATATTTGATTATACTGTCAATACATTTTATTTTATTGATAAATTATACAAGAAATGTATAAGCGTTAATATTACTAGTGGTGCCCAACTCAAAAGCACCATTTATTAACAAGTAATACCACTTGGTATGGCAGTGTGAAAGCATCATATTAAAATTCAGATCAATTTCATTGTCCTAAGTACTATTGGATTTTAATTTGATTTTTAACCAATATTTTATACCAAATTTTTATACTTATACCATTTTTTCTTGTAACTAAAAATGCACGTGTTTGGGTATCACCACGAATCACCAAGGAGGAGGGGGGGTCTAAAATTCATTAAAAAATCGATTAATGGAAGTGATATTAATGGACTTAATATTAAGGACTCTCATCAACTCTTTCTGTTTAAACACAGTCTACTTCTAAAATGTGTAATTCAAGGGATATGGCCCTTTTCTTTGGATCCATGGCTATAAAAGTAAATAATATTTTTTAATGTACCATAAGCATAAAAACTTTTGATGTATAGTTAAAATTTCAAACGAGGGTAAATCATTTATATGCAATTTATATAATAATTAATATAATAAATGGTAGTCTGCCCGAAAGCAATTCCATTGTGTGAGAGCACAACAAATCAATAGTTTTTTTTTTCTTCACTCCCTGGTTTATTATTTCGAATATCCACTTTTATGCAATTTCCTTTCAAAACTTTTGCTTTCATGCCTCCTGGTCTAGTGCTTCGCTTTCAGTTCCCTTTATTTTCTCTTCGCTAGTAAGTCTTCGACCATCTACATTCTTCTTCTTCTCAATCATTATAGACCTTCTATTTTACCTTCGACTACATGGTGTTTGATTATTTGCCTAATTCTTTTTGGGCAAAATAGGTCAGACTCAGTTTCCTTTCTTTTTCAAGATCAGTAATAATTTTTTTGCCCACTCTTCTCAGCACCTCTTCATTTGTTATCTTGCCTGTCCACTTTATCTTCTGCATTCGAATAATATACGAGTATAATTGAAATGATTTAACTATAAAATAACTCACTAAAAACAACTTGCATCTAGAAACACTCGTATGTCAGGTCACTCATAAGTGGGGTATTATATTTATTGTATTATATATATATATACAGTGGCGCCGGAATCAAATTTTTGATGGGTGGGCTCGTTTTTTTTTTTTAAACATAACGAACGAAACATAACGTTTTTTTTTAAGAAACATTAGGACATATTAAACAAAATTATATGGTCCTCACGGTTCCGACGCCACTGTATATATATATATATATATATATATGTATATATATACATGTATATTTTTTAACTTCCCGTAGGGTAAGTTATTGTAATGGGCCGAAAATCGGAATTGAAAATTCTTACATTTCTCGACGTTTTGAAGGTTTCTGAACGTTTTGGCATACCTCAGAAAAAATGGATGTGTGTGTGTGTGTGTGTGTGTGTATGTATGTGTGGATACAAATTTCCAGTCACGTTTTAGGGCGCACGGATCAACCGATTTGAATGGTTCAAAAAACATTCGATTTCTATTGATTGGGAAAAGAGCTGATTAGTTTTTGGCAAAGGCAGGTCCAGCCGTTTCGGAGATACGGAGCAAAGAGTGCAGAAAATAGAAATCGAATTTTTGAGCGAACGGAGTATCCGATTTGAATGATCTAAAAAACATTCAATTAGTAATGATTGGGAGAAGTGTTTATTAGTTTTTGGCAAAGGCAGGCCTAGCCATTTCGAAGATACGGAGCTAAATATGTAAAAAATGGCAGTTTTTGAGAGAACTAAGCGTCCGATTTAAATGATTCAAAGAACTTTCTGCTTGTCTTAACAAAATAATTGATTTAGAAAAAAAATTTTGTTCCAATTTTTTTTTTTTTTTTTTTTTTTTTAGTATTTTGTATATCGAAAATATTTCAGATTTTATTTTTAATTCTGACTATAGTTCTAATATACTTTAGAAATAATTTCAACTCTGCAATTCGGTTTATATAATTCTTATAAATATTACACAATGTTACAATATTTATAATAATCTATTTGAAAACATTCAGTATTCCTCGAACATTTTGTTACGGTGCGGGAAGTTCCAGCAATTTGCCTTAAGGCACGATGCCATAATTGCCTCAAGACAGAATTCCACTTACAGCTAGTTTTAATTTTATTTGGCCTCTTGCTTATTCTGAGCATTTAGCCCCCCACAACATTTGTATTTATTGAAATTTTATACTAATTTTTAGTATAGAATGTAATCTGTACTTTTGACGTAGTTATAGAATTTATTGAAACTCTCTTTCGATAATTCAGGTTGTTGGGTTATAATTTAACCCTTGTAGCTGTGGACTGTATCAAACACTGATTTGTTGATATATTATGTATTTGTTGCAGTTCTAATTACAATCACTGATTTGTTACTAAGTTATAATGAAAGAAGATATATTTATTTTTATTGGTTATTTACATGTTGTTAAGGGGTTAGGGGTATTGGAATTTTTGAAAAATCGATTTTTATTTTTTTGCATTTTCATTAAGTGTAATATCTTGAAAATGTTCTCTGAAAATTTCAAGTTGATCCGATGATTACTTTTTGAGTTATTGGACTCTTACCAGCGCGTTGATGCAAGTGGAGAGCTCTATACTTATACTCAAGATTATTCTCCCTCACCTCCTGATGTTTTAAAAGCTTTTAAACCGATTTACGACGATCTCAGCAATAATAATTTACTTTCAAGATGTGTAGTTCAAGATTGAATCCAAAATCAGAAAAAATTAAAAGCTTCAACCAACTAGTGTAAAAAATATGCCTACTTTGGACTTTACTTTCAGAAGTGAACAACTAGTTCAATTAAAAACACTCCGCTACCCCCTCTACTAGGGGTAGCAACCATTCCATGTAAAGCATAATGCCCTGAGTTTGTCACCTTCATGGCCAATATAATAAAGCGAAAATACGTCCGAACATAATCTTTAATCTATTTATATTTATATCTTATTCTATGTTATTCTTAATTTTTCTTCAATTCTTGCTTTTTTATATCAAATTTCTAATTCATTATTTATTTTAGGTATGTGGCGTTACTGGACGGTCGTACACTTACGCACGTTTGAGAGACATGAGCGCTGCTATTGCTTCACGGCTGATAACAGTACTAAAGCTTCAGCCTTGCGACACAGTGGCGCTGGTTTCGCCTAATGTTCCTGAATTTCCGGCTGTTGTAATGGGAGGCGTAGAAGCAGGAACGATAATTACAACGGTTAATCCGCTATATACTGCAGGTAAAAATTATAATGGAGTTTTTCATTTACATTATATATATATGCTACTTTGATACAGTTTCACTTTGACGATAAGTGAAAACAATACTATTTATATTACCCCCTTGATCCGATCGCATAGAAGTTTCATTTAATTAACTAATTTTTCCTGCGTCTTAAAGTAAGAACTTTATCTTACTTTACAACTACAGGTAACCCCCGCGTAACACGATACTTCTATTATAGAAGTTTTATAACACGGCTTAAGAATAGATACCATCCCCCTTATAACGGTGTACTTTTAAAGCACGGGTTTGCTCTAACACGGTTTCAGAATTGAGCAAAACCATATTAAATTATAATATGATCTATGGGAATCAAACTTTATTTAATCTAAAATTGTAAAATCGCCGTATAATAGCTCATGTGTGAAACAAATACAAAAGATAACTATATTTGATACTTATTATTCGAGTGCGTACATTCTATAGATAAACTAGTGGGGTGTATGGCATCGTGACTTAAGGCAAATTGCTGGAACTTCCCGTACCGTAACGAAATGTTCGAGAAATATTAAATAGATTATAAATTAAATAGATTATAAATATTGTAACATTGTCTAATATTCATAAAATGTACTGAAATTGGAATTGAAATTGTTGAAATTATTTGTGTAAAGTATATTAGAAACTCTGGTCATTAAATTAAAATCTGAATTATTTTCGATATACAAAAAAATTTTTTTTTTAAAAAATTAGTTTTTTTTTTAAAAAAAAAAATTTTGATACATTTTTTTTTTCAAACTCAATTATTTTGTTAAAACAAGCAAAAAGTTCTTTGAATCATTTAATCGGACTCTTAGTTCCCTCAAAAACTGCCATTTTTTGCACATTTAGCTCTGTATTTTCAAAATGACAGGGCCTGCTTTTGCCAAAAACTAATAACCACTTTTTTTAAATCATTCAAATCGGATGCTCCGTTCTCTCAAAAACTCGATTTCTGTTTTCTGCACTCTTTGCTCTTTATCTCCGTAACTGCTGGACTTGCCTTTGCCAAAAACTAATCAGCACATCTTCCTATCAATAGGAATCGAACCATTCAAATCGGTTGGTCCGTGCGCACGAAAACGTGACCGAAAATTTGTTTCCATGCATACATACACACACACACAATTTTCTGAGGTATGCCAAAATGTACAGAAACCTTCAAAATGTCGAGAAATGTAAAAATTTTCAATTTAGATTTTTGGACGATTAAAATAACTTATCCTACGGGAAGTTAAAAATTCTTAAACAAAGGTCCTTTAAATAAAATGAGCATGAAATTTTAATAAAGAAAACTGTGCATGTGATAAATATATAAATATCTTTTCGCTAAAAGCAATCAATTGCAAATATAATTTTTTGTTGCAAAAAATAATGCACGAATCAGGAGGTAGTACAGAAAACTGATCAGAGGATGAGGATATATTCTAAAAAAATGATTGTGTTGGCTAGCACTTACCAGTTAATTATGAAAAAAAATCATATAATTTATGTAATGAATATTACTTCTTGAAAAAATAACAAATATTAACAATATTAATTTAAAATCATGAATGTAGCAGGTTTTTTCTTTGAAACGTACCCCTTATTTTTGTACTAGTTCTTTGTGCCGTATAACACGAATTTGCATTACACGCTACTTTTTTGGAACGTAACTACCGTGTTATCTATTACTGCATATCGATTAAACAAAAAATATTTTATAGTTTTGTCCCTTTTATTTTGTTAATCAAGTAATAGATGCTATTTTGTTTTATTCTGCTCTTTATAAAAAGGTTTATTCAATATAAAAAGGTCCAACCCTAATAATGATTTTTTCCAGAGGAAATATCTCGGCAATTCATCAACAGCGGATCAAAATGTGTCTTTGCCAGTGATGAGAGCGTATCTGTGGTAATTGAGGCTGTTAAATCTTTACCAGAACCTATTCCTATTATCGTCATCAGCACTGAAGGAAAGCCATGTCCTCAAGGATGCATCAAGTTTTCAGAGTTCAGTGATACGAAAAATGCAGACTTTTCTGTTTTAGATAAGGCTTTAGAACTTTCAAAACCGGTTAGTAGCTATATTTCATTTTGTTTCAAAAATTAATTTTCAACATGTTTTGCATATTAATTCCAAATTCCAAAATGTTTCTTTGGTAATGCTTGTTATTCATATGTGTTAATTAATTCTTATTCTTAAAAGATATCAATTTCGAATACAGTAAGGTTTCAAAACAAATGCTTCACTTCATACATCATCTAATTCTTTTAAAAAAAATATATAGTTAATATATCATAATGCTAAGATATCTATATTAGGGCGGGTCGATTTAAAGTCGACACATATGATTTTCGTATTCTAGGTATCAAAATAAGATACTCTTCTTAAGAAACCATACATGTAAAATGAATTCTGATGTCTCGTGCATTGACCCAAAGATAAGAGTTAAATTTTGAAAAACCTCTCTGGGGAGATCCAAGGTAGTGAACCGGCCTTCCAAAGTTAGTGGGGTCGGTCGTAAATTTTCAAATTTTGTCGCTTACTTTTCAGAATCAGAAATCATTTTAGAGGTATTTTAGAGGTACTTTAGCAAAGTATATTATTTTTATCCCTAGTATCCGAAAATCATATGTGCCTCTGCGACTTTTTTGACCCATACAAATCAACCCGCTTTGATCTATATGAAATACAACATTTATTTAAAAATCCTGAAGTTCTAGTAATTTGCTTTAAGGAACAATGCAGTACACTTTCTGTTAGATACTGGTATAAACTATATAAGAAAATGCTAAATATTTTTCGTACATTTGATTTATGATGTGATTCTGAAATCTTAAATTTTTTTAAAATTAGTTTTATCATATCTTTAAATTAATTTTTCAGAACGATGTATGCATGATGCCATATTCCAGTGGAACAACGGGATTGCCCAAAGGTGTTGAACTGACTCATAACAATATAGCCAGCAATTGTGAAATGCTCAAGGCTGGTGAAGTGCCTCTCGTCACGCCAGCATCAGGTAGATATTTAATACATAATTTGCAATTATGCACTTATGCATCGGATAAGAATGGAAAGAAGTACAACTTGACTGACTTTTGACCATAATTACAGAAATATATTGTTACAAAATATTATGTTTCTAAAAACTATATCAAAGGTAAATTATGATAAGACTGCGCGACACTAAAATTTTTCTTGAGATGTTATGATGGTTTTTAAGTAATTCGAGGACGCTGATTCCAAAAACAAAAACAGAAATTTGCTAACAGCTCTAGTTTTGAGATTTTATTTTATGCCTTTAAAAGTATTTTTATATGATTTTCGTGCATGGACAAGGCCTAACTTATTTCGTCATAAGCTTCAACAAGTGTCAGCCATCATGTGCATGTCCCATCTGCCTTGATATCGCTCCTCCAAAGTCCTGATGTCTTTGGAGGAGCGATATAAAGGATTGTGTTGGATAGCACTTACCAGTTAATTATGACAAAAAAATCATATAATTCATGTAATGTATTCATGGATACTCTCGCCCTGCTTTCGCTAATATCTCCAACATTTCGAAAAACCGTTTTAAATAGTGCGGGTTAGGAATTTAAATCAATTACATTAAATATATCAGTTTTTTAATTCTTCCTGTCCTCTGATACAATTTTCGTCGACGATTTCGGGAACACGGATGAAGCGATTTGAATAATTCAAAAAACATGCGATTCGTATTGATAAGGAGACGTGCTGATTAGTTTTTGGCGAAGGCAGGCCTAGCCGTTCCGAAGATATGGGCCAAAAGCGGTAACTCAGTTTTTAAGAGAACGGAGCGTCTGATTTAAATAATTCAAAAAACATTTTACTTGTATTAACAAGATGAAGAACTGATCAAATTTTCATGAAGCAGGTCTAGCGGTTTCGGAGATCTAGTAAAAAAAGTAAAAAAAATGTCAATTGGCGGTCAAAAATGATCATTAGACATATGCACATTAAATTATCAAATATTTTATAGAGATTATAACAATAAGTATAAATTTTGTTTACATTCCTATGGGTTCCGTACCAATGTTTATATCCGTTAGACGGCGACGCGGCGCTTCGATATTTCGTCTCCATGCAGTTAAAGCAGTACGATTGCTTTGAAAAAAAGTTCAGAATTTCCAAAATATTTCAAAATAAATTTTTCTTCAAAA